CCCCCCCCCCCCCCATCACCTACTCACCACCCCCACCCACTGCAGCCCCCATGGGTGGGGGGGGGCACATCCTTCCCCCCTTTCCCCCCCCACCCTATGGTGCTGAGTCTTTCCAGCCTCATGCCCTCCTCCAGCCCCTCTGGGGGGGAGTCAGCAAAGGACCCTCCCCCCCCCCTCACACACATCCAGCCCTGCTGCTCTCCTCCATCCCAACGTGCCCCCACCTTCGACCCTGTGCCCCCTCCCACAACCACGTTCCTGGGGGTTTCCCTGTCTGTGCCTCCCACCCCAATTTGGGGGGGGTCTCTATTTGTGCCCCCTACCCCACAAGTGGTGGCGGTGGGGAGGGTCTCTGTGCACCCCCACAACTGGCAAGGAAGGGGAAATCTATGTGCCCTCCACCCCAAAATTGGGCACCCCTATTTGTGCCCCTCACCCCACAGTGGGGTGGTCCCTGTCTATGCTTCCCACCCCACAACTGGCGAGGAGGGGGAGGTCCCTATCTGTGCCCCCCACCCCAGCATTGGGATGGGGGGATGGTCCCTATGCACCCCCCCCTAAAAAAGCCAAACCACAATACGGGGGGGGGGGGAGAGTCCCTGTTTCTGTTATCCCAATGATTTGGGTAAAGGGTTGGAGGGGGTTCCCTGGAAATAGCAAAGCCCCCCCCAAAATCACGCTCACACACACACCCACGTGCACACCCATGCACACGCAGAGCCCCCCCCACAGCGCTGGTTTTGGGGTGGGGGGGGCATTAAGACTTTTGTTAGTGACCGTGTGCCCCCCCCCTCCCCATCCCTATCCCCCCTATGGGGTCGGAGAGGCGGTGGGGGGGGGACACCTCCTCCTCCTCTTCCTCCTCTTCCTCACCCCCCCCCTCAGGCTTTTTTGGGTGGGGGGGCCAACTTGATGATTTCCTCCTCCGAGGGCTGTCGGATGATGTCTGCGGGATGCTTGGGGTCAGTGCCCCCCACCCCGGCCACAGGGGGGGTGGTTGGGGTCAGCAAGGGGGGAATCCCCCACCCCAATCATTAGGGGTCATTTGGGTGGGGTCTGGGGTGGATTTTGGGGGTCAGGAAGAGGGTCCCCATTGGGGTGGGCAATTAGAGTCAGCAAAGGTGGGATCCCCAACCATTGGAAGCCACTGGGACAGAGACTGGGGGGGCATTCAGGGTCCCCCAACCATTGGGGGTCATTGGGATGGGGCTCAGGAGAAGGTTTGGGGGTCAGGAAATGGGTCCCCCACCCACAGTCCCCCAGCCCCAACCATTGGGGATCACTGGGATGGGGTCCAGGGTGGGCATTCGGGGTCAGGAAAGGGGTCACCCCCCCCAACAATTGGGGTTCATTGGGATGCAATCCAGGGAGGGGCTGATCTGGGGTCAGGAAGGGGGGCTCCCACCTGTGGACCCTTCCCAACTATTGGAGTGGGCATTTGGGGTCAAGAAGGGGGGCCCCACCCCAACAATTGGGGTTCGGTGGGATGGGATCTGGGGGGGTTGGGGTCAGGAAAGGGGTCTCCCACCCCAACTGCTGGGGATCATTGGGATGGGGTCCAGGGAGACAGTTGGGGGTCAGAAAGGGGGTCCGCACCTGCAGTCTCCCTCCCCAGCCATTGTGAGTCACTGAGATGGGGTCTGGGATAAGTTTTGGGATCACCTACCCCAACCACTGGGTGTCATCAGGATGGGTGTGGGGTAGGTTTTGAGGTCAGGAAAGGAGTCCCCCACCCACGGTCCCCCCTCCCCAACCATTGGGGGTCATCGGGGTGGCATCTGGGCTGGGTTTGGGGTCAGCAAGGGGGGCGATGGGCCGGGGGGGCTCACCCTTGTACTTCTTGGCGCTGGGGATGCGGGTGAGTTTGGTGTCCACCTCATCCTCCTCCGAGATCTTCAGCACCTGCGTGCGGTACTGAACCACCATGGTGAGCAGATCGGGGCGGCGCGAGATCTCAAAGATGTGCTCAATGTACGACAGGTTGGCTGTGGGGACAGCGGGACATGGGGACAGCTGGACATCGTGGGGACACAGCACTGGAGGACACTGGGACAGGGGGACATGTGGACATGGGAATATGGGGACATGGGGACACAGTGCTGTGGGGATGGGTGGGGACAGGAATGGGGACAGGGGCAGGGATGAGAATGGGGGTAGGGGTGGGGTAGGGGACATGGATGGGGACAGGGCTGGGGGGAGTTTATTGGAGTGGGATGGGGATGGAGGCAGGGGCTGGGGACAGAGATGGGTGTGAGGACTGATAGAGGGGACATGGGACAAGAACAGGGACTGGGATGGGGAGTGGGACAGGTGACAGGGAGCAGGGTGTGGGGTGTGGGGTGTGGAGTGGGACAGGATGGGATGAGGGACGGGATGGGGACAGAGACCAGGGCCGGGGCCAGCACCACAGCCAGCAATGGGGAAAGGGGTGAGGGGACTGGGATGGGGACCATGAAAGGATTGGGATGGGAACAGGCAGGGGACAGGGATGGGGGATTGGGACAAAGGGACAGGAGAGAGGGTCCAGAGGGTAAGGATGGGAACCAGGAGGGGGGATGGGGGATGGGGACAGAGACCAGGGGGGAGGGAATGGGAGATGAGATAGGGATGGGGGATCAGGATGAGGAGATGGCAGAGAGGGATCAGAGGGTAAGGATGGGAACCAGGAGAGGGGACAAGGAGGATCGGGGGACCAGGATAGGGGGAAAGCAGGGACTGGGGGAGGGGAGTGGGGCAGGGCAGGGGTCCCGGGGGGGGGCCATGCTGACCCTTGTCCAGCTTGCTGTGCTTCTCCAGGAAGGCGAACCAGTGCTGGCTGGTGGCGATGGCCTCCCCCTCCCCGCTGGGGATGTCCTCTTTGCAGGCGGATTTGAGCTGCTCCAGGTCCTCGGCGGTGATGTTCTGCGCCAGCTCCTCCAGCAGGCTGCGGTACTCGGCCATGGCTGCACCACGCGTGTCACGAGCTGCCCGGCCTCAGCTGCCCCCCCCGGCCCCCCCGACCCCACAGGCGGCCCTGCTGGGCCGTGACTCACGTGATGCTCACGGGATGTGACAGGGATGGGGATGAGGGACGGCAAGGCGCATGTGCGTGGCCAACCCCCCCCAACCCCCCCACACTCCCACACCACCCCCATCCCCCCACGGCTTTGATGCTAAGGGGAGAAAAAGGGGGGGGGGGGCACCCCAAGTTGGGTTGGGGGGGCTGCATCATTGTTTTGGAGAAGCAGCGGTCGCCATGGCAACTGAGATGCAACAGGAGATGGGGACAGGTTGACCCCCCCCAAAAAAAAAGTGATAGTGGGGGATGGGGTGACCATGGAGGGGGGGAGGGGCCATCCTCATAACCCCCCCAGGGGTGACAGTGGGGTTGGGGGATGACACGGGGGGTACACCACTGTCACCCCTTCTTGGTGGGGGATGGGGTCACTTCCCCCCCTCCCCCGTGGTCACCATATCCCCCATTGTCACAGCCCCTCTCCTACTCCATTGTCACCAACTGGAGGGGGGCAAGGGGGGGATGGGGTCACCCCCTCCCCCACTGTCACCCCCTGGGTGTTCACACTGTTCCCGCTCACCCCCCATAATGCTCTGGGGACAAGGGAGGTCACCCCTTGGTGGGGGGTGGGGTGGTGGGGTGTCTCCCCCTCCCCCCCGTGGGCCCCCACCCCCCACTGCAACCCCTTTGGGGGG